CTATGTACTTTATATTTACCCAAAAATGTAATAGACAACCTCACTGGCTCCTATGAAGTACATGTGAAGAAGAGGGTTTCTTTGTTGCCTTGCAAGCTCTGGCCATAGTTTTCTAGTTCTTTGGAGAATACCCAAATAGCAAACTACAGTATCTGAAAACACATGGAAGTCTAACATTTGTACCTGGCATGTAGTAGGCAGCCAATACAGACAGAATAGGGGTTTTACTTTGGAAAGATGTAAATCGATTTAACACTTTTAAATGAACTGAAAAGTACTTTAAAGCCCATTTTCATCTTTGCAGAGATATGTTTAAAAAGCATATGCCAGCAATGTACACAGAGTGTACATGAAACAGGCATATGTAGCTGCTGTGTGTCTGCCTGTGCTTTGCAAGCTCTTTCTCACCTCTCCCATGTTTTAGTATTCCCCCCAACAGTGTATTGTGTGCAAAGGTAGAGCTGCTGTTTACTGATCATGTTATAAGTATGAGTAACAGGGAGGGGCAGAGCTGTTTAAAGCCTAATTACCATTCCACCCTGGTGTGTGACCGATTTTCCTGTAAAGAAAATTCTGAATGTTTAGGCTTCAGGCCTAATAAAATGTTCATTAAAAAAAACCAAGGAAAGCCTGCAATGTGAGTGATGAAAATGTGCACACGTATACATCATCACTGCACCTCTTCATTACCACCATAAATGCCAATCACTTACAAAGGTGGAAATGGATTTTAAAGTTTGTCGTTTATTTTTCCAGCACTTCATCGTCACGATCGTTTCTCGGAATAATACTATGATTTTCAATGTTTATATAAAAACAATCCACTACAATGGTCTAATTATTATCCTTGACAAAAATATTGCACATATTTGTTAAAGAAGCACAAGAACAGTACACAAAACTGTGCATGATGCATGACAATATGGTGTCATTGTTTACAGAATTAGGACAATACTTTGTTTTCAACCCCAAGAAAGTCTCCATAGAGGAGTTCTTCCTCGATCTGCACAACTTCCGTATCATGTTTGTGGTAAGTTGGAGAACAGCAGTCTGCGATGCAAAAGTATAATTTTCAGTGAAATATACTGGACGTCTGGGTGATATGTTGTTAGATGTCATTTTAAATGTGCCACCAAAGTCCTCTGCATATTGTATGTTAAAGTAGTATTAAACTCTCAAATTTTTTTTCAATAATGAGTTCAGATCAAACAAATATACATTGACCAGTAAAGTATTGCTTTTATATTAAACAATCATCATGTTTCTGAACAACTGTTTCCAAGTCTCTCAGCTCATCTTCCCTAAACTTCCTGTCCAGTACAAGATTACAAGGGACAGAGCAGTCTCCAGCAACTGTTCATCTACTAGCTTGGAGAAGGGAGGAGGGGGGCCAGGGGGGAGGGGAGTAGCTTGATTTGCTGTGGTTGTGGAAAGTGTCCATGAATCTTGTAGCAGACCTTACCGGAAATCCCAATGAGTTTATGGGTGCTCTAAATGACCGCGGATGGTGCCGCACACAATAGAATTTTAAACAAGGTTGTCATCAGCACGACCAAAGTCCAAGTCAGTGCAAATCCATTTATTGATAGATGTCACTCAGATTGTCAAGCGCTTTTGGGGCCACACAGGGTCTACTTTATCAGGCTCAAAGCTACTTTGAGCCTGATGAAGGGGACCCTGTGTGGCCCAAAAGTGTGCTGATGACATCCTTGTGTGTTTGTGGAGACGCACATAGCTTACTTCCTATCGCACACGGGTGATTGCATAGCACTATGCTTGAGAAAGGAGTCACTGAAAAACAGGAAGTCAGGACCAGTGCTCAGTGCACCAGCTGATTCTGCAGGAAACTAAAACTTTGAAACATCAAGGAGCAGCATCCATTGTAAGTGATTTAATTTTGACTTTAATATCACTGTCAAAATGTTCTATCATTTTGGGGAACAAAACTATCAGGAAGATGCTAGTTGAGTGTAACCTTTATAGTGAAATAAAGATCATTATTTGAAAAATATGGTAGGATTATCAAAGCAATATAAATGTAGCATGTGTTACATTATTTTATATTAAGTTGTAAGTGCTACCTTTAAAGAGCATTGTATATCAGGGAATATTTCTTACATGCATGCTTTGCAACACCTACAGTAAAGCCTTTTGAAATGAACCTGTTACAAAAGAAACATTATATTTTAACTTATGTATAGGAAAGCTGAAGGCTTTTTTGTATGATGTTGGTTTTCCTGGAGCCCCTCTAAAGGGGATTTGCGAATAAAATCTTTCTAGTGGTCACTTTATGCATAGCGTTAAGCACACATCCCACTTGTACTTACCAGGCCTTGGGTGAGGTTGCTAGCTACATTTTCACTTTATGAACGTGCAGTGCCCTGATTTTTATTTTTTTTACAATTTTGTCTCATTTTTAGCAAGCACTGAAAGACAATCAGAAGAGACGTGAGGCTGAGGAGAAGCTCCGACGAGCCAAACTGGCAAAGGAGAAGGCAGAAAAGGAGAAAATAGAGAAACAGCAGAAACGAGAACAGTTAATAGACATGAATGCAGGTAAGGTCGCTTGGTTGCTGTAGTAAGTGACATCTACAACAGGTTATTATTTGCACAGAGTAAAAGCTCAGAGGGCAGCTATCCATTAGGCTGCCAGTAGATAAATGATAGGCATGTGATGGCACGTGTACTTTCAAACTAAACATTCCTTTATCGAAAGCTGACCACATGATACAATCTGATTGTACAATCTCCTTTTTAAATGTTACACGTCATGCAAATGGAATGTGCTCACCATTAAGCCCACTAACCATTCAGTAGTTCCTGTAATGCCCAAGTGAATGCAACAGATCATTATACTATTACTTGCAGTGTGTGAAAGTGTCTGGAGAACTATAGACTGTAAACAACAAAACCAAACACAGATACATCAAACAGCACAGATCAAACTTTTATTGCACAAAAAAACTATAAAAATGCTCATAATGGACAAAAATCCAAAGTGCTCAGGTTCACAACAGCTTTGATCAGAGCCTTGATCACAATAAGTGTAACTGAACAGAACTCAGTGCGAGCCTGCCTTGTAGCTGGCTCAAGAGAGAAATACAGACCAGCAAACCAGTCACTAGACTACTATTCTGTCTGACATGTCCCTATCCAAGTACACACCGCCAGTGACACATTTCTGGGCCACCCCCCTCCATCAGAATAGCCCATTGAAGCGGTCTAGTCCTGGTAGTTGGTACTCGCACAGAGGTACACTGTATAGACAAGTTGTGTTCGTGTGTCTGTATGCTGGTTCTTGTATTGTATCTATGCAGAGACTTCCTTCTTGAGCCGGCCACATGATGTTCTGTTCAACTATACTTTTATGAAATAAATAGTATAATGTACACTATTCATTACACCTGTGCTTTATTTGAGATTATTCAAATATATTGTGTGGACAGGCCCCTGCACCACTTTGTAATAAATCTACAGACGATCATAAATAGATGTGCAATCACATTATAGAGACTGCCTACCTGCCTCTAGAAGTTGGAGATCTCCAGAAGTTACATAGGTGCAGCGCAGCATAGAAATCCTCATTTATGCTTTCTCCCACTGAAGCCATTGAATCAGACCGATTTGTGAAGCAGCTGTCTGCCTTTTTCTCTCTACTTGAACGCAGACAAAAACAGAGATAAGCTAGCCATGCAACCTGGGACATCAAATCAATCGAATCCCCCTCCACACTGAACAGTATCTCTAATGCCAGTTATTGTATTCATCAGCCACCTTTCCCGCTGGTTGCTGAATACCTGAACAGTGACTGTATCTGATTGGATGCAGTCACTGTTTGGCTGACAACTTTCCACCCGGCTCCTGTGACAAAGTTTGATTATAAAATTGATTTTAGTTAATCCGGGTGGTGCTGACAGGGTCACCCACAGTTCTAATTTCTGCCAATTCAGCAAGAATCAAACGAAATGTGAGCATTTTATGGCCATATTAAATGTAGGTAGAGCGATGTTTATGTAGTTTTGTTCAGGGTAGTGCACACTAAGTGTGCCCAGGTTTGGGAGCTACAGAGTGCACAGACACAGTCTTGCAGTCATCCAAAGATATGGTATTTTTTGATGCATGCTCTTAGTTGATTATGCTGGTGGTAACTTTTTTTTTGCCAAGCTTGCCTTAAAAAACTGTGCACTGGAATGTTCTGCCACGTATCTAAATACAGCTTTTATCTGCTAAGAAAAATATTTTAGAAAACTATGCGCGTGTGAATTGCCACATATTTTCCAGATGTCAGATGCAGAACAGCCAGTGCAATAAAAAATGTTTCCACTTTAGGGATCCTTGTGGACAGTTTGTCTTATGTTGCTGGACATAATGTATTTAGCACAGCCTCCATAAAAAGAAATGTTTGACATCTATCCGCACATCAGTGTCATATTTGTAATCTTAGAATTGCACTGATTCTGTGAAAATATGCATTTATTTACACCTGAGATATTTCCATGACTCAGAAGAATGTGACTTGTTATTCACAATCCAGAGATTTCCTGTCGAGTGCTCTTGTGATGAAGGCCAGATGCTGTTTTCTGCTTTTGTATTGAGCCTCAGAGCTGCATTTACATCATTGAAATATCCAATTTCCTTGTTTTGTTGCCAAAGTTCGTATCTTTGTCCTTGCTGTAATATACTCAACCCATTATTTGCAGGCTAGTGTGACACAAGAAAGATTGCTTGCTTTCCTTGATTTTTTAGGGCACCATTTTCCATTTGCACTTAGGCTTCACTTAGAAAACTAAGGGGCATTAGGATTTTCAGAAGTCCTTTTAACATTGTCCAACCAGCTATGGGTATTCAGGATTCTGAGAAGCAAGGGCTTCATATGATCTACTGGACCTTGGGTTCACTAAAAGTTACACACCTTGGGATCCTTATAACTTTCACAAAAGTCTGTCCCAGAGACTGTGGAAATGGAGACTGGAACAGGTTTTCTAAGGTGATTAATAGATTGTTCCCAACTGAGAACATTGTTGAGGGAGTCACATAGACTGAAACTATCTGCATCAGATAACTATTTTATGTCTGTCATCTCTGTGGGCAGCTTAAGTTTTATGTCCTGTAAAAATGATACGTAGGTGACTAGAGAACATGAATCCGGCTTTTTGGCCAATCAGGAAGGGGGGGGGGGGGGG